AAAAAAAAAAAAAAAAAAAAAAAAAAAAAAAAAAAAAAAAAAAAGACCTCACAAGTGCTCCCTCAAGTGTTCACTCATGTCAACACTCAAGCCAATGTATCCCGCCCTTATAAATAAAACTTTGATTCTTATTCAATGTGACGTGAACTGCAACATCTTAATGTGATATCTTGGTTTATATCACATATCATAATATAGTTAATAACACAACATATCTTGTTATGTAATACAATATAACATATATCATAGTATAAACATAACATAGCATACATCAAGCAATTATAAAACACGACACGTGCCCTACATGTTTATCATATGGCAAACAAGTCATCCAACCAAACCAACATTAAAGTCACTTGCTTAGTTTGTCTAAGCCAAAATCATTAAATACACTCCGTGCTAGTCTGATCCTACCCTTCCAAGCAAATTAATCGGCTCTAAATGACTAAGGTTTGTCAAAGGAGTAATCAAACATAAACTCAAGAAAAAGCCACTTCTTTTGAACCCTTTTTTAGAGGTAATTATCTAATTATGAGAACCTCACCTTTTTCTTCTTCGCCCTTTACCCATCACTAACAACGTCCGACAACCTCTCATTTCCTTCACATTTCCATCTATATTGGTTCATGTAAATTTAGCTTTATTTAAATAAAATATATATTTTAAAATTTTATATAATTAAATTTTAAGACTCAGTGCATCAAATTACAAAATTAATGTGTTTAATTAAGCAATAATCTTAATAATATCATAATTTATAATTTTTAAATAATATCTATATGACAAAATCATCCCTGGCCACATGCCGAAAAAGCTAAGCCACCATCTTGAATGGGAATTAACTAAAATTATTTCATTTATTAAAAAAAAAAACAAATAATTAATTAATAGCACCAAACAAATGAAATCAATGGTGGTTAGCCAACAAATTAATTAATTTTCTTATATATATTCTTGATTTAGAATCTTTAAACCCACCATTGTTAGTGGTTGTATGAGATCAGGCTGACCAAAACTTGACCCATTATTCATATATATATTACAATTAAAAGAAAAAAAAAAGAAAAATACTTTGAACTTAATTTAATTTGAGATTCCATATCTTCACGCATGCCGACCATATAGTAGTATAGGCTTTGACCAACAAAATGAGATTCTAGCACAAAATTCCTTCGAAATTGATAAACCTCCTCCTTAGAATCCATTAAAGGGGCTTCGGCTCGGGACAAGAGTAGAGCTCTACCCACTGAGCTATATCCCCGAGTCCAAGATGGACGGCGTCAAGGAGAACAGACGCTAGTAGTTTCAAATGAAACTTTATTTTTCAAAACGTTGTATTTTATTGGGAAGGATAGAACCAGAGGTATCACCTTTTTTTTTTTTTTTCACTATTTAAAATAAATTTGTTAATGTAGTGATGAAATATCTCTATCTGCAACAAAAGCCCCCACCAAAGAGTTCATGGAAAATTAAAACTTTCCCTCTCCCCTCTTGGCTCTTTCTAGGGTTGGCAGCCTAAAGTAGAAAATTAATCATTCTTTTTTGTGTTTGTTTGAAGTCATAACAATTGGGTCAAGATCCAACCTAAATCAACATAACATACTTGGATTAAGGATATAAAATTGACCATGATACAATTAAAATGGATAAAGTTTATCTGAATCAACCCGATCGATTATATATTTTTGAAATGGAATCAATTAACAAAGTCAAATTTGGTTGTTTTTACGGCTTCTTAAATTTTGTACGATCTATCATGTTATGAATTGAATTAATAAATGGGCCAAGAGAGTTTGATCTAGCCACTCGTACTCATATACATGTGTGTACATATATAGACACTAAGATATTGACTGTAGTGTACTAGAATCATGTGATCTTTTCAAAGAAGGTGCCTGAAACATAGCCCAATCGTAATATAGTTATCTTATCACCATTATAAACTTACAACGTGCCTGAAGTCCTATTGAAAATCATTTTATCTTGAATGTGATGTGAATAACATCAACCTAAAATAAACCTGACCCTTTAATTATGAACCAAATCATAGACTAAAAATGGAAAATTGTATGATAATTGTCCTTTCTTTACCTTCGCCGATTCTAGCTATTTTTCTTGTATTTCCAAAGTCAAAACCTAGCCTAATTTACACCCATGTTTGTCCTCGAAGAATTTGACACTACGAAGTTAATTGTGTTGGATGAAAGTCTCACATCGACTAATTTAGGGAATGATCATAAGTTTATAATCAAGAGTACTATCTCCATTGGAATGAGGCTTTCTGAGAAAGCCCAAAGCAAAATCATGAGAGCTCGTACTCAAAGTGAACAATATTATACCATTGGAGAGAGCCGGGTTGATCTAACAAATTGAATTTTATAAATTTAATTATCATTAATAACCCAATATATAATATTATATTTAAAAGAATTTAGGTTTAAAAAATAGTTTATTTTCTTTCCATAAAAGTTTTATTTAAAATTTTGTTGATAAAAAATTGTTTATTTATTTATATATTTGAAATGATTAAATATATTAATAATAATAATTATATATATTTATTTATGTTAAAAAGGGTAAAACTTTTAATTGAAAACCCACCAAGAGGTTCATAAACTTTTATTTATATAAATATTGTAAACAAAAGCAGAATGATATTAAAAACAAATCTAAAAGGTTATATATTCTTTTTTCATTATTTATTTATTTTTAATATAAAGGAATTAAAGAAAAGTTGGGAATTTTCAAAATTTAGTTAGAATTATGTTTAACTATATTCGAATATAATTTTAGATTTTAATTTTGAGGGGATATTAATTTTTCTATTTATTTAAGAATAAACTTATATTTGACAAATATTCAAAAGAAATACTCAAAAT